ATATTTAGGACAACAATATTGAAACAGTCTTAAATAGTTACAAAAATATATTTATATAATACAAAGAACATTTATTGCATAGTCTTAAAAATACGTGTATTAAATGGAATTTAGTAACTTCATAATTTATTTTTACAATTTTTTAGTAATTAATATTATGTATGTGAAAAACTTTTGCATTATCATTAATAAGAGCATTTATGCTTTGTTTATAATAATCCTGACTTTTATATTGTTTACATGTTTTTATCATCAGAGTATTCAATGTGAAGAGATACTATTTAGATGTAAAGTTAAGAAATATGACATTGGCAATTGTACATTGTGTACTTATAAATTATAATTTTGTGATGTATGTATGCAAGGCATTTGTCACGTGAGTTAAGTAACACCGTGTTACAATTTACTTAATACATTATGTTATTTCTATAGCAATAATAATTATCCGTGACTATAAATCCTAACTTTTTTTGATGAAAGTGTTGCCAAAAATAAATTACTATCAACATTGACTGCGCTTATATCCACTACGGGATCAGAAACAGGGAGACTATTTACTTGCTTTCCAGTAGATATACTCCATAATGATATACTACTAGTAGACTCTTGATGTGCAGCAACTAATGTATCATTTTCGGTATTTACATAACACGGTCGAGACAATAACTGTTGAGAATTACCAGCGTGAAATGTGTGTACTACATTACAAATAATTGATTCATCGTTACCTTTTTCTATGGTACATACTATGTGCCTAGCATGAGGTTGCCTAGCATTTGGTCGAGAAGATATTAAAGTATGATTGTTTTTATCGTCATAACATACGGATACAAACGGACCTTCGAGAAATATTTGTTTGGCAATATATTTTGAGTCTTTTTGTTCATAAGCATAACAAGTATTTAAACGACATGCTATAAATCCACCCCTACTTATGCCACTACCAGGATTGGAAGGTACTGTGGCTAGAGAAACCACTGGTGACCTATCCCCTGGACTGTCTAAAGTTTCAATAGCACCAGAGGTTTGCCTAATATCAAATTGTGTTATTGATCCATTCTGTGCACCCACAAAAAATATATTTGAATTGTCTCCTGACCAGCAGCAACTCCATAATGGAAATTCGGTTTGATAAGTGTGCATGATCATGTTATTTTGAATATCCATTAATTTTGCACATTTATCAAAACCAACACTAAGCAACAACGACTGCTGAGCTGTATTAAATGTAATATCTCTTATTGCTTGACTGTGTAAAAGAATAAATTGACGTGGTTGAAATTTATCCGAGTCAATTTTTTTAATCCCGTAACCCGAGAATAATGTGCTCGTTGATTTCTGAGATACAACTAAGAATCCAAACCAGGGATTATAATCTAACACGCGACAACCACCATCCTTACATATTTCTATAGAGCGATCTAAATGAAACTTTTTAACCATATGTTTAGAAGTATTTTGCTGTGAATGAACAGTTATTTCTGATTGCTGGCTTTCAAGTTCTGATATTCGATTTTTCATACTAGTAATTTGTTGTTCAAACAACTTTTGTCTTAAAGTATGTTTTGAAAGTTCCATTTCTACACGATTTTTTTCTCTTGTAACACTATTTAATTGTTCTTTTATCTTATCTAATTCGGCGGTATCTATCGATGTCAATTTTTTGGCATACAGCATTCTGATATCTTTTGCAGCAGCTTTTCTGTTGCATTGGGGACAACGACGGTTTGCACTGGTACAAGAATTTTGTAACCATCTTAAAATGCAACTATATCCAAACAAATGTCCACAGCGTAAACAACACAATCGATGATCTCCAGAACTAGTCCATAAATCCATACATATTGGACAAGACTGATCAGAATCAACCTCAGACTCATCTAAGGTTGTTTCTTTTGCTTTCTTTGCTTTTGTTTCATTGTCATCATTATCTTCTGAGATATAACATTATAAATATAATATTATTTTCCAAACTTAATAGCATATATGTAGAACATAAATTTAACTCACTTGTATCTTCTGTTTGAGCATCATTTTCTAAATTATTGTCAGCAGTGTCATTATTATCAGATTCTTCAGAATGATCCTCTCCTGTATCCTCCATTGATGCTGCCTCTTCTGCTGTAATATTTTACAAAACTTGTAAATTCATAAATAAAAGTATACGTGTATGAGTTTCTCTATTCTGTGATTTATGACATAAAAAGTGATTTATGTTCTTTATGTAACCCATAGTAAAAAAAAATATAACAATTCTTCAATTCTTTTTATATTAATTTACATATGCATATATTTCAATTAAAAAAAAAACATATATTGTAAATGCTGTGTATTACTTGACAAGCTATAAACACTTACTGTAATCCATAACCTCCATTTTATAAAAATATAGACTAAACTATTTATGAAATACGTCTTATAAACACGTGTTTTACTCTAAACCATTAGAATTTCTTATAGAAAGAATGTATTTACATTTTTTGTATACAAACACACAAAATCACATGACACTAGGTGCGTTTGCACGTAACAGAAATTTTGCAAACTTTTTTGAACGAATGTATTATTGTCATAACGCATTCAAAATTTTGTATATCCATTAGACAGAAAAGCATACTACTTACAATGTTAAATAACAGATTGTTTTTCTTAATTTTTCGTGTTTTAATATAACATAATTATTTCGTAAATGCTTTCAGCTGATCGTGAAAGGAGTCGTACAAATTTTTATAGCATAATAAATTCTATAATGTATCGTAGTTATCTATGTAAAAATACGTAGTTTTTTACACTAATTTTAGAGTAATTATTACATAGATTCTTTATTATTTTTGTTATTATAAGAATTCAAACATATGTTAAATTAAACGTTTTATAACATACATATATTCATGACATCGATAGATCTTTAAGCGTTGTTAATTGACGTTTTCTGTATACTTCTTTGTTCATTAATTTTAAAGTAATAATACGTGTGTTCAATATTATTTATTATCATTATTATTTATTATTATTGTTATACAATATATAAAGGATAAAAGCGGAGAATCCTTCTTAGAGGTTATTCAGTTGCAGTAAATACGATCCTTCGTAATTTTTATGCAAGAAGTTGGATACGTCTTGGATACAGCTGACAAGTTCAAATATGTAGCTGTATAACATGAAAATAAATGACGCATGCCTCATATTCTTATTCGTAGAAATTGAAGGTTTTCCCGTGTAAGTGTCAAATTTAACAAAAATATTAATTTCCTCGTAATATTAATAAATTTATCGAATCATTATTATTTTAACGTATTGCAGTTTTTAGAACTATAAAAACTACCCAAAAAAAGATCATTTCGAACAATAAATCGAGAAATCGTTCGACGCAATTTGATAACGGTACCGTTTCTGCACTGAATATAAGGAAATTAAAGGGGTCGTCCTTTTTGAAGTTACAATAATACTGTAAAGATCTATCTCGTGCTATTGAGCGAAAAAAACGGTGTCGTATCGAAGGTAAAATAATGAAGGTAAAATATTCGTTAAATTTTTTTCGATATACTTGCGACAATCGTTGACATCACAAGTCTTTTTTCTTACGTGGAGTATTTTTAATACAATTCCTGTTGACAAAGTAAAACAGAATTTTTCGTATAAGAAGGAAAGGAATATTTTAAGGAGTAGAATTGAATTAATTTAGAAGCGGAGACCGTGCACGTGGAATCCATCCCGATCTCCAAGAAATTCACCAAAATCTCTTCATGTTCGCGAATTCGACGGTTCGGCGACCGCTAAGACCAAAAGCTTCCATGATTTGAAACGCTTGCAAAAGTGTACTCCGAAGTTACAGAAGACAGCCGCGGAACACAGGGAGTCCACGTTGAAAAGAGATGCTTTCGGTTCGCTGGAATCTTTGTTCGATCTAAAAAAACCTCTAAATTTACCGGACATACGTTCGTTGGCGATCGAATATCACCAAGAGGGTCATGTTTCTTCTTTCGAATCAAGAAACTCGAAGAATTTTGTAGAATCGATATTTCTCCAGCAACAAGTCGATCTTGAACCGCACATTCTTGAACGGGTGTGATTTTGGTATTATTAGCAATAGTTAATAAGTAATCCAATCGTTTAATAATACATTTAAAAACAGATAAATTTTCACACGTTGATATAAAGTAATTTGGACAGATTTACGAGGTCGATGACTATAAAAAAAAACAAATCCGGAAGAGAAGGAATCACCAAAGTATGAAATATTTCATTTTCGTTTATATTTTATCAATGAGAATTGTTTTATTATAAACTGATCTAATTATTAAGCATGGCTGACGAAGAAGTGATAGAAGAAGTTCCCGACGAAGATGTTGAAACTGAAGCTGAACCAGAGGAAGAAGAAGCGGAAGAACCAGAAGCAGAACAGGAAGATAAAGATGTATTTGAAGAGAAGGATGATCGTCCTCCGTCGTATCCGCTTCCTCCCGGTGTCGGTGAAGGTATAATATTCTAAACGAAAGTAAAATTGAAAAACACTGTACAAGAAGACAACTGAAAAGTTCTGAAAAAAATTTTTTTAATGTATATATTTTGCTTAGGCGTGCCAATTAAACCTGGTGGTCGACAAGAATCGATATTGAGTTCGTCTCCATTGACCGATAGCGCTGTAATGATGGAAATGAAGAAGGCAGACGAACGTTGCGTGATGCTTTCGAAAGAAATTGAACAGTTGAAAAAGGAAATAGCCGAACTCTCAACTGTAATATCTACAGGAAAAAAAAAAAAACAATCATTTAAAGTTTGGAAAGAAAGTACCTTCTTTTTTATTGTAGAAAAAAGATTTAACGGAGGATGATACGTTGGTGATTCACGAGAAGCAGGATGAAGTGATGAAGAAATTGGCAGAATTCGAGGAGATAACTAGGAAGTTGCAACGATTATTAGGTTTAGCTGATCATTCAAGTACCACGTTTGCTAAAATGTTTGATATGCTACCTTATACGAAACCAAGTGCAGTAGGTATTTTCGTATTATTTATCGTGAGAAGTAAACGGAAGAAGATTGTTATCAGTGTATAAAATCAAGGATTGTAGGTCATTACGGAAGAAATCGAAGAGGAAATTAGCGTGAAAGATAAGATAGACATGATAGATAAGAAAATAGAGGTGGAATTAGATAAACGTGAAGATCTTTTCGATTTGCCGCAAATAGAATATCCGGAAGATCAGTATGTTGCAACATTACTATTTACAATTCAAGAACATATTTGAGACTTTGTTTCCGTTTAATTAGACTTCCAAGAGTAATTGTCTGTGGATACACAGAAGACGAAATTCCAAAAATTGTAGTGGCAGACAGTAAAAAAAAGGGGAAGGACAGATGTCTGCAAAGTTTAACAGGAAAATTAACAGAATCGTTGACCATGCAGGAAAAATTAGTACTAGAGAACGCACAGCTCGAAGGTGGAAAGTAAGTTCATTTCGTACACCCGGTAATTTTATTTCTCAATCTGAAGAAATAACTGAAAATCTAACAAAAAAAAAGATATGAAAATCAATCAGTCTCCTTAACGACGTAATTGACATATGCCATGTGATATATTATAAAAAAGTGAACTCATGCGACATATCAGATACAAACTAGAAGAGGCACTGTTAGAAAAGGACTCTGCTGTTGAGAACCTTCAGAGGAAGGTATGCGGGTTGCAGGCTGAAATGCGAATAGTCGTGAAGGAAAATGTGGAATTGACTCGACAAATAGCTTGCTTAAATCAACGAATCACCAGTCCTTGTTACACCTGCCCAGGTGGAATATTGTCTGGAGTGTCAAGTCCACGTCCTATTCGTTCCATCTCATACACCACTACGTTACAGCAAGACGATGATTATTGTCGGTGCAAGTGTTGCCTAGACACTTTATCGCCAAATACCACGTGTGGTACATACCAATGATATCTAAATTCATTATTCATCGATCTCACTTCATACAGCATTTAAAATGAACGTTAACGTGTTTCAGTGAAACGGGAGAGTCGTACGTATCTACCTTGCGGAGGTGAGTTATCATACTATCACCGTGTAACTGAGAAATCGTCAGATCAACGAATGTGAACATTTACAGATTCGCCTAGACTTGCGGGTGGCGCGTCAGTAACGGGTGCTTGCATCGATAGTACATCCTCCTCGCAAATTGATGAGATGTGTTGCAGAAGTCCTGCAACGGCCAAGTCGCCATGTCCTCCACCTCCGCCAAGAGGAGCATGTCCCGCGGAATTGGAGAATAAATTAGCAGCCTATGGGAACAGTACCAAACAGCTAGTACATCTTCCAGATATATAACCGAGCATCAATTCGATCGTTATAGTTACGAGACTTGTAATTTTTTTCAGGAGCAACAATTGGGCAGCATGGAATGCGAGGTGCGCAACATGCAGATAGAGCTTGCTAACGTGCAACGTGAACGTCAACAATTGGAACAACAACGTAAATTATTGAAATGTACCGGTCCTTGTGCACCATGCGGTTGTTGTCCTCCTGCATCCATGAATCTTCAAGGTCCTGGCGCGCCTCCGTTCGCACCTCCTGTACCAATTATGCAACCTCTCCCTGTACCTCTTCCCAAGGTATCCGTGCAATATTTCGATCAACTTGGTTGTATGGGGAACACAATTGAGAGAAATTAAACTAAGAGCAAACGAATTGTTACTAACTACGACAAAATTTTGTACGAAATAAACAATGTTTTTATAGAAATTTCAGGTATTTTTTATTGTCGTTAAGTACGATAACGCATGTCATTTAAAATCATTTTTCGTCGTGCACAGATGCCACCAGCTCCGTCCTCAACCTGTACCGGTCCATGCATAAATGCCCCTATGGTAAGATTGAACTTGAGAAGGGAATTGAACCCGAACTAAAGCCGGCTATTTAATAAAAGGGCGCTAGCACGTGTCCTCAGCAACAGTTACGTGATCTACGCGAGCAATATGCACGTCTGCAAGATGATTACAAAAACAAATTATGCGAGGTTTCGTGTTTAAGAACAGATGCTGACAAGTTGAAACAGCAAACTCGCGAAGCCATCGAGGAGAAAGAGAAATTGGACATCAAACTGGTGGACGCTGTAGAACGTTTAAAGTCGATGGAAGCAGAGAAAGATAAATATGCAGGTGATTGTTTCGTACGTTCTTTTGATTCGAGCGATCGAATCTAATTGATCTACAAACGGCAGGTTTTAAGGAACAGATGGTCGAGCAGGAGCAAACTTTGATCGTCTTCAAGCAACGTTTCCGAGAAGCGCAAGACGAGCTCGAGGAATTGCGATCCTTGATTCAAGATCAAGCTGCGCAGTTGGAAGACTACCGAAATAAATACTTACAGGTTTTCATTCGTAATATGTCCTTTAAAGACATGAACATGCGTAAAATAATTAAAAAACAAAACAAAAATAGGCGCAGCAACAAGTTGAAGAACAACGTCGACAACTTGATCTCATGGAGATGGACAACGCAAGGATGAACGAAAACGTGACCTTGGAAATAGGAAGGGTTAAAGTGCGTAGACAATCACACGTGCATAGTTATCGATATATTTTATTATTATTTTTTTAATAGAATCAATTCCAAGAAAAGCTCGCTGAACTTGCACCTCTGCCGGATATTTTGAAGCAAACGCAAGTAAAGCTTCAAGAAGCCCAACAAATGCGCTTGATTGCCGAACGTAATTGCGAGGATCTATCGCGGGAGGTAATAGGGTGCAAAGATAAAATTCAAACATTGCAAAATCAATTGGACGTGTTACGTAGCGAGCATCAAGCACTTCAGGTTATTGTCTTTATATTTTTTTTTATTAAGGAGTTTCCATTAGGAAAACAAATTACATGTTTATAAATTATGTATGATACATAGGATGAAAGAGGTCATGGTACAGGGCGATTTGACGAATTGGAAAGGAAGAATGCGGAGCTGCGACATGACAACGAGCGTATGAAGAATACGCTTGCTAGATTCGAGGAACATGAGGCGCAAATGCAGAAACGTATCGATGAGAAGACACACGAAACCACCCAGTTAACGGCGATGCTCGATCAGGTATATCGTTGTGTGTTTTATTATAAAATCATACGTTAATTTTGATGGATATTGAAGGTGCGAGAAGATTCTGCGAGACAAGTAGCAAGAACGAAGGAAAGATGTGAAACTGTGAGAAGGTCTATGCAGGGACAAATTGCAGAAATGGAGAGGCAGTTGGCTCAAAGCAGAGCTACTGCAAGAGCTGCACAGAAGGATAAAGATGAAGTAATTCATCGTTAAAAGACTTAAGTTACACCTGTTTAAACATTAGGTATAACTCATTTTTTGTTTTGTTTTATCCTTTATAGATTAGACAGAAAATGCAGGGTCAGATAAACAACCTAAATGAGGCGTTTGAACAGGCTCAAGGTCGAATAAGGTCACTGCAAGGTCATGTAAATTACCTGAAAACATCTTACAGCAATATCTTTAAGGGGCAAGGAGAGGTTCCACCTGGTGTTTTACCTGGAGAGGCTGGGGCAGGATTCGATTCCTGCGACTGCAATTATTAATAGGAAATTTAATTAATATTTTATTGATATCGAACTGAAACATTTTAATGAGACGGTAATCGTCTCATTGCCTTACTTAAATTACATGTTAAACATTGTCTTAAGGTGTAACAAAAAATTTCCCAGTTTCTACACGTCAATATATTCATGCAACCATAGTTAAATTAAATTCGTTTAAGAATAATAAATGTACGGTATAAAAATCATATGAAATTTGTCTGAGATTATAATTTGTCAATGTCGCAAAAATTGAATCATTTCAGTACAAATGATGTATCTGGTACAATGTAGCATCCCCTTTTTTTTCATATTTATTTATTTTATTTTAATAAATGGATCACGTATTTTTTATATGCAATGAAGTAGAAGAGGAAAATAATAAAATTTGATGATGGTGCATATCTCAACTTAAGGAAATGAAAATAGTGATTTGTACAAGGAAAAGCACTTATTTATAGTTGATAAGTTTCATTAGTTCATATCCACAGAGTGAAGCATATTGAGCATCTTGAGGATTGCGTCTGAACGCGACCGTACTCTTTCCATTTCCATTCGGAATTCTTCAAGCTGAGACTCAATCCGCCGTGCGTATGCATGACAACACCTATAAGTAGAAACAACAGTGTATTTATTACGTCGTATATTTATAATAGTATAAAAAGGTAAAATTACCTGTCGTTGCATTGTGTAGAACTGGAACATGTAGGTTCGGGTGCAGGAGAAGAAATTTTAATTTGTGCAGGACCATTTACCGTATAAGGTGTTTCTTTTTGTTGGTGTCCACTTTTATTTAAACCGGAAGTACTATTACTGCGACAATCTCCACATCCTCGTAAAAGATCCATAAGAATACCTCTTACTCTTTTGCCACTTAATCTTCGTTGTCTCGTCTATACATAAAGAATTTTACAGAAAACATTGCATCAGCATGAAATCGTTGATAAATTAGACAGGTTCGTAATTATGTTATTATTATCTTACTTCAGATGTTTCATTAGATCGTTTATGTAAAATTAGAGGGTCTTCTTCGTCATTGTTTGAAAAATTATGATTGGATGAATGAATGTCAAAATTTTCATGATTATTTATATTGTCCGAAGATGATTTACATACACAAGAAATGTCTTTAATAGTGTTGCAACATTTTGAATGTGAACTACTATTCATCACGTTTTGAAGTGAATGTCGACACGTTGTATGGTATTTGCAAATTACTTCGCTCATTTCGGCAGCAGCGTTCGTAATATTTCCATGCAAATGATTCTTCGAATCTGGTGTGAATGTATTTTTGTATGAATTTCTTCGGATTCCCTTATTATGAAACTTATCTTTAAAACACTTAGGGCTATCATATTTTTGTTTCTCATGATATGAACCACAATTACACTCTTTATCTATAAATTCTGTATGATGCGTACAACAGGAATGTAATTTTTCTTGCGGACTCGGAACATTTTTACAAGGTGACCATTTGTTATGATATTTGGAGGAATCGTATTTTTCACAACAAGGAACACAAGTATCTGGGCTCAAACAATTATCCTTATGTCTTTTATCACTTATATCGTCTACGAAGGAAGATGCTTTTACTGAATGTAACGATAAATTGTGAGAACATTGAGAAATATTGGATCTGTTGAATTTTGATGGAATTTTCTGTTTTTTGTTGGTTGAACACATAAATGGACTTCCATTAAATCTAGTTTGTGATGTTATATTCGGCCAACAGTGACACGTTTGCTTTTCAGGTGATTTTATAGATACCTCCATATCGTCCTCGTTATCGCTCACGGATTCATGACTTATTTCTTTACCCCAAACACTGATTGTTCCATTTATTTCGGACATTCTTACTTCAAGATTACCCAATAAATATGGCCCACATTCTTGTATACGATTTTTTTCATCATTTAATCTATTTTTTGTAGGTTCTTCTGCTTGAATTAAGAAACTTTTGTTTTTGCTATTTTCATCATCTCTATATATGAAACATTTTACACTGTCCTCATTATCTTCTGCTTCTCCCATCTTAGCTTCTATAGATTTAGAATCATTAATATTTTTATTAACAGATGTATTTTTCTCTTCTTGTTCTGATTTCGAACTTGTATTTTCTTCAGAATATTTAAATGATACCTCAGTTGCATCGATACTATTTTTTCTTTCCAATTCTATGGAAGTGTGAGGTATTTTAAAAGGTTGAACAAAAGTAGAAGGACCAAGCATTTCTGTTGCTTTTCTTTTCTTGGAACTTGAAGCATGCATTGGAGAATTGTAAGCCAAATTTAATAACTGATTTGCTGAATTTTCATTTAATCGTTTTTGACTCGTATGTTTTACCAAAGGACTTTCAACTTTTGTTTTACCTTGCGTTATATTTGAAAGTGTTTGCAGAATTCGCGATGAAGTGATAAATGTTCGAGATATTGGATGCGCTATTTTTCTTGGAGTTATACCATCAGTGAGTACAATGCTATCATCAGAATTAAGAATTGGGGTCAAATCGGGTGGTTTAATTGATATAGCTGGACTGTAAGAACTTTCTGCCCATGGATCAACAGAACTTACTGTAGATGCAACACTACTGGTGGATACTTTGTTTCCTTCTCCTGAAGATGTAGTACCTTTATTGGAAGTAGAAGACTCTACAATTGCTTCAGTTTGTACTGATGCAATTTTCGTTTCACATGTTTTACTTTCATCTTCATATTTAGCTAACGATTTTTTTAAAGCATCTAATTCCTGTTTCATTTTTATATTTTCTGCCAGTGTTTTCTGATAAACATCTCGTAAATTATGGAACTGTTCATCTTTTTTAGTAAGTTGAGCTTTCAATTGAATTATTTCAGAGTTCTCTGCATTTATTCGAATAGTCGGATTAATTTTTCCAAAAGTTAAATTTTCTGATTCATCTTGCGTTATGCGGATACTTTTAACGTTTTCAATTTTCAATGGACAACTCGTGTTACTGTTATCAATTTCTTGTGCATTAATCATTTCTGTATCATTATATTCTTCCGATTCATTTTTCTCTGGTTTTTCTTCAGATTCTTCACCCTGTTCAGTGTTAGAAGTATCATGCATGTATTCTTCGTAACTTAATGTACGCAGATTAATAAATGTAGGTGTCTGCTGATGACCATTAACTAAAGAAGACTGATTTATGTTACCAAATTTTACATTTCTATCTATAGTGTTTTGATATTCAATATGATGTTTATTAATATCTACAGAACCATTTCGTTTTTCTATTTTATCGTCGCAATTTTGTGTACGTTTTTCACTTTGTATATCATTGTATTCAGTGTCCTTTCGAATAAGTTTATATTGGCTTTCAATTCCTCTGTTAGAAGTTTTATTATTTTCACCATTTTCTACTATTTGTGCTGTATTATAATTTACATTATCATCTTCAGTTTCTTCTCTTTGTAAATCCTTAATAGCCTCTTCTGCATAATCTTTTATGGCTTGTTTAGTAACTTTTGCCTTCAATTGCTCAGTGTCTTTATCTATAAAGAAAGAAAAGCAATCTTATTAACTTATGGATTTACTTATTTTCTAATAAACACATCTTAATTTAATATTTACTAATAAACATCAGACAGATATTTTAAATATGTAAACTCAAAGTGTAACAAAATAAAAATACTTACTTTCATTCTCTTCGTGATTTTTACTCATCAAAATTTCTTGTTCTTTAACACGTTTTTCTATAGATTTTCTATTTTGTTCCTTTATATCCTTTATGTACTGTTTCACTTTACTTTCCACATGTTGATATTTATGTGGTACTGCTTGCTTTTTATTTGTAACAAGATTTTCTACCTGATTGTGTTGCATATTTGAATAATTGTACCTAAAAATGCTATGCCTTTTCCTATTAAATGGTGAGAGGCCAAAAGTTTTGGTTATACTTAAATCTTGAAGCGACAAACTTCTTTCTTTAGGATGATGTTTTAATCTGGTGTTTAGCACAAAGTCATCAGACACTCTATCAAAACATTCTGGCTCATAATCTATGTCATCTTCAAAATCATCATGATGCAGTCTCAAAGGATTTTCCTCTTCATCGTCATCTTCATCTTCTTCTTCCTCACCCTCTAACATTACATTGTCATGGTCATTTTCAAGATCCATTTCATCCATGTCTACATACATATGTATCAATTGCAAAGAAAATCAATGTATCAAGCAATTTGTTTTGTTACTAACTGAAGTCTATATGTCGTTTACTTACCATCACTATCTGCATATTCATCATCTTCTTCATCATTATATCCATGAGTAGTCTCTTCTCCAGAAGATAATACATAGATACTACCACCTCCTTGATCATCACTAGGATAAGGACTTCGACTGTGGTCTTCCTCTATTGGAATTCTGTCCTGTTGTTTTGTATTATTAACATCCGAATCTTCGCGCCTCGATGGACTTGATACACTAATGTACGTTGGCATTTCTTCATCTTCCAACATAGGTTGTTCCGTTTCATTGTTTAACATGCTCGTTTCACTCTTCGATTGTTGTTTACTGTGATTTTCCGTATTCATTTCTGCCTCGGTGTCTTCCGAGGTATGTTCGTTTTCTTCCGACATTGTGAAAGTTGATACTGAACACGCAAGATGTGTTACGTTTACGCGGGATTATACGATTCTACAAACTTTAAAATTATGCAAAAGTGTATTGAACGCGAACTATTTTGTTTTTTTTTAGATATTTAACGCATGCAATCGCACTTTCCCGACAGCCGCCATTACAGCTGCCGCTGATGGCACCTGCACCTCAGTCCATTCGCATATTCAACATTTTTATCAGATGTATTTTTGTTATTGTGTATTTCTTTAAGATTATCTACATTTTTTAATACTGCTTCCAATTAATAGTCTTTATTTATTCATTAAGTATTCTTAACCATATACAATAGAATCTTCAAGTTGCAATTAAAGACATAATTATTGTGAGACTAATGACCTGCGAATACACAGGAGTGTACTTTGTGTGGCATTGAAGGGGTACCTGTTCTAAATTTCATTGTTTAGTTCGTCGCATTTGTCTGAGATGTTATATAATAGTATTAATGTCAATAGTATCATAATTTAAACCAGCATAAACAAACATTCAAAAAAGCGTATCATTTCTGAATTCGTAATGTAGGACAATATACGATCGTCAACTACTATAAGCATTTGTACACGTATTGTTATCAAATGAAACGGGCCTTGAGAAAAGATCTATCGCAGTATACAAAAAACATTTTAAAATAAATTTTAAGTGCAGAAACTATTATCTGCCGTGAGTGACGTATACATTACTGACCAGTTGAATGGAAGGAACGTGGAATCGAGCTGTATTGTCACTCACGTTGTTTCTATGCACGGTGAACGATATTTTTTTGTAAATATATGACAATAGCAGATAGAAATTGCAAAGTGAGATACTCAGACAAAATTAAAAAAAAAAAAACGAAAACAAATATGTGTAACGAAGGTAGCGGAACTTTTGTAACCATCGAATTCGGGTAACGTCGAACTTATACCTAACCCAACTTTTCCTATAGTTCACGGTATAGGTATAATAAATTATCCGCGAAATAATTTCAGGGGTGGGGCGGAACTACTTTTCGACAAGAAAAAAAAACACGAGGTGAACTTACCTGGAAGCGAATGTAAGTATTACAAATGTTCTCCAATGTAGTTTCAATTTGCCACGTGAAAATTTTATAGGGACCATACAAAAGTTACTTTTTTGGCTAAAAGATAACCTCTTGAAAGAACGACCGGAACTTTTCATACAAGGAGATACCGTGTAAGTTGTTCATTCATTTTATAAATCTGTACTCGCGCTAGAAATATTTCAAATAACAGTTTAAAATACCGTACGAGTAAATCTTCTGTTTGGCTCACGCAGAGTTTACAGTGACACGCGTGTCGCACTACAAACACAATACGGTATGTTGTGTTAATTCGCACTTGCGAATTCGACAAGATGGCGACTCGCTAGTGTCGCGGCGGTACGCTAGAGAGCAGCACCGTTCAGTTTCACGAACGTTTTCGTTCGATCTGTATAAAATACAAAGTTTATAAAAAATATTTACTAAAATTCTACACACTGTAACATTTTATCCATACAGGCGACCAGGAATTTTGGTTCTCGTGAATGACACTGATTGGGAATTGCTCGTAAGTATATCTCTTATTCACATCGTAATCTAACAAGTTGTTTTTAAATAACATTTCGCGTCAGTGAATGACACCTTACGCGAACACACATAGAATCTGACACAAGTACACACGATAAATATCAATTTCCTTTTCTCTTTATTTATATACACGAGAAACTACACGAAACGTATTCTCCGTATTTATCCTCTTGGGGCAATAACGCGTTCGTCGTAATCACGCACATTTGTGTGCGACATCTGACAAACGTCGTACGAAAGTATCTGGTCAGGGATTTTTTGCGAGCCGCATAATCGACCTACCGGCGGCAGAGTCAGAGGGTGGAAAATAAGAGAACGATGAAAGGGCGCAAACGACCTGAAGGCTCTCGCCACACCCACGGGCAAATTATCATTTTAAATTTGCAAATGTACAAAACGCGAGCGCTATTAGGCTCCGCATCCTGAAGCACTGTCGCGGAGAGAAAGGAGCCTGGAGAGTTGCCTTAGGGAGGGGAGAGAGGGCACCGCAGAGAAAGAGAGAGAGAGAACAGAGGCGGAAAGGATGATGGCTTCAGCTATTATTATGATAATACCAACATTTCCCGAAGCTTCGCATGCCTCGATCATGCTTCTTCTCCTTTCTTCTTTTCCCCTCTGCTCCCTTACAATACACATCTACTTACACGTATGTCGTCCCTTTTGTCGCTTTAGCGCACGCCTCGCTTTTTTCCTCTTTCTAACGCTAAGAATAAAAACGAAATTCGGTCGTTCTACTTAATGGTGATTTTATCGAAATTTTGCAGGGCGAGGGCAATTATAAAATATGCTCCGGTGACACGATACTGTTCATATCCACCTTACACGGAGGGTAAAAGGACGATTTACCAAGAGAAGAAAAAAAACACGTGACGATCGACGAGGAGGAAATCGAAGATGGCGCTGCGATAGATTCAGCTCGATTTCAAAAGTACGAAGAAAGTGAATGTTCGAAGGGTTGCTCGTTTGTAAGGGGACGAGACGTGTGTGTGCATGCGTGCACACAGCGTCGGAGAGAGAACAAGATGTTCGTTGGTAGAACGTACCGTTTTCGATGTTCCACGTATAACGACTGTAATATTACGACTGACACTTTGGCGGTTCTCCAACGATCCTCGTATTATTCTTCTCCTCTTCTTTGCCTCCCCGTCTTTTCTCGCTGCATCGCCAATGGGCCGTATCCTGTTCCACCGTTACCACCGGTGCCGAGACGCGACTCTGCCGTGTTGGTACTTAACTCTTACGATTTTCTCGCGCTCGTATACAGCTTTGCATGCATTACCTCGTAATTAACGTCGAGACGGGGACGACGAGAGGAAAAGAGACGGGTGTAACTTCCAGTAGAGCTCGTCTAATTCAATTTGTCGCGTAGGGAACGTAAAATTTCTGGTGAAGCATCTTGTCTCGCTCGGAGCTTCGACTCTTGCCAATTTGACAGAGAGAAGGAAAAAAAAAAGAGAGAGAAAAGAAGACGGAAAGAAAACAGAAAGAAGCGTAATTAACTTCCGGTAGTTGCGTCGGAAAATTAGCTTCAATGTTGAAGTAGGGATTGCGCGTCGCGATCAGTTCGCAACGAGATTTAGTTGTTGGTCGCTCTGGAGGCTCTATTAAAAGTAATGATCGTGCTGGAACTTTGTAAAGATCGAGAGAGAGAGACGAAGAAAAGGAAGAAGAAGAAGCGGAGGAAAGAGGGAGATAGAGAAGGAAACGGCGAGAGGAAGATCTTTTCACGGAAAAAATGAGGAAACTTCCGTGAACTTCCTCCTTCTGTATAATTAATTACCGGCGGTAGTAGTCCTTTACGGTACACGATAAAGATCGTATCGAAGGTTTTTCAACTCGCCCGACCGAGTGAAGTTAATCAACTCTGGTACTCGCTGCCGCGATGTCTGCGATTTCCCCTTTTCGACATCGATCGGTTGTGCTTTCAGCATCGTGGGCCTGCCTGCGTTACGCTTAATATGATCCATGCGCGGCGACGCGTCTCCGTACTAGATTCTCGCGATATCGGAGCCAATCAGCCGTCGATGGTGGTCGATAGGGGCGAGTCGCTCCGTCGTATAATAAACTAACGAGAGACAACGCCGCCAATTAATCACGGCACTATGTTACGCGAGGAAATTCGACGAAAACAGTCTAACGAGCATCGACTTCTCCAATACTGCGAGCGAGCGTGAAAATTGAGCGTCAAATGAATTGTAAACGAGAGACTTTGTCGATCTTGGTTAAATAGAAATTTTTTGCACTTCTCTGTTTATACGTAATCTCGAAATTTTGTAAATTGTGGAATAAAGGATTTTTTTGTAACATTTATTCTGAGTAGATTTTTCGTGTAAGATTAACATTAATATTAGGCTTACGAACACGCGTCAAATTGACGCACATTTTCTTTAAAAAGCAACTTATTTTATTTAAAAGCACGCTGTTAACTTATAAATGAAACTATGTGATATATATTTATGTAAACTGTTCGGGTGTACCGACGACCGAACAATGCATCGGCCTTTTCCATAGGAACAGTATTTGTAAAGAGAAGTCTTACCCGGCATGGCCCGTCAATAGCTTCATTACAGTCAAAATTTCGAAGACTCTAAATATAAACCGAACCTCGACACCAGTAATCCTATGTACACAGCAATATAACAAATCTATGTAACAACAATTTCCACACCATCAGACAGACACCTCTCAAGCATCCCGAAAAACCAATCACCACACACTTCCACCTTCTTATTCACACCACCAATCACAACACACACCTAGTTAATAAAAGAGCGAACATAGACACTCCAAGGACAGAACTCGTTTAACTTTCGAAGCGCACACAACAATTATAACACACTCGACTTTAGTGGAATCTCTCCGGACATTAGTTTATCGGGAGAGAGCGACGCGAAATACACATTGTAATATTTTGTGCCGCATCATAAACTTGGAAACGCGTGAAAATCACGCGTCCGGTAAACCTAGTGTCATTGAACTTAAGTTTAAATGAAATTTAAAGTACGCCGCGTGTACTTACACAGCACTTAGTGACCCTCGATAAATCATTAAGTCACGCACAGAGAACTCGTTATTTCTGATTTCGAACAGAACTCGAACCCATTAATTTGCGCGCGGAGAGTCTCGACGAATCTTCCACGGGCCTCTTCAAAATTCACCCTTCCCTTTACGTTTCCAACGTTTGCGTAAGTGCGTTCGTGTGTCGTTAGCGACATCGAGTGTCTCTGGCCCTCGTGCACCGATACAATGCATTTTGAGGGGCGCGCGCGCGCGCGGAGACGCGAAACGCATCCCCCTGTGAAACCGAGTGTCCCGATCGCTAATGGTTCGGCAGGGTTGGATGGTCCAGTGATTAATTGTGTCAGCCATGATTACATTACAGAGGACGCAGATCCACTATATTATATACGATCGTGCATGCGTGTATCTCGCGGCCGGTCCGTAACACGTGCGTCGAACGCACTCGTGCGTGTTAGGCGGATGTCGGAGGAGTACCCGCGTGTCCGCCTCTCTGACTAACTGGTCGCGTCGTAGAAACGCGTCAGGAGGATGTTTCACGATATTAATTTCCAATTGCAGAACGTCTGCGCGCCGAGTGAAAGAGGAAATTCGCGTAGATCTTTGATATCGCGTAGACTGGCTGGTTGAAAATTTCATAACACCGAAGAGAGTGACCGAAATCGTATCACTCGAGATATTTCCTGTTTCACGTTAATTTGTCAAATTTTATAACTAACAGTTGGGACGATAACAATTGTTTTTTTTTTAATTTTCCTCTGTAAGTTTCGTGAATCCATATTTTGTATTTTGCGCACTGGATCGTGTGAAACCGCAGAGTAAAACTGCACTATAAAGTGAACACAAGTTCATCATTTTTTTTTAAATATAAAAATTTGTTTATATTTCTCATTGTTTAGTCGTCCTACTAGATTTAAGGTAAAGGTACCGGTAGTTGACCAGTTAAGAGAAATCCTCCACGCGAACAATAGTAACCACTTGCTCTGTCATTAAGAGAGAGTCGATGCCTGAAGATACTCTTTAAGCCTTCTAGATTATAAAACACATTTAAAAATTCAGTAATTGCTTCAGAAGTTGACCACTCTTAAAAATGAAAAAACTAGTAATTGACCCCCTGTTCGTTAGTAGTTGACCACTTATATTAGAAGGAGGGTTAAAGCAATAATGTTGGTAATCATTTTAGTATCGTTAAGGAAATAGCAATGTAGAGGCATATTACTTATCTTAATGGATTTAGGCGTCCGTTGTTACTACGCATACTTCTCGTCACATGTAATTCTTTTGAAATTTAATCGAGTTTTGCTCGATTTCACTGCTAGTTATTTTTTATATCGATTAATAATAAACAATGGATGAGACATGATTGATGAGACCAGAGTAGAATGTAGTTATTGGAAATGGGTTGTTGAAATGAAATAGTCTTTGTTAACTGTTAATATACTATTTATTATCGGACTCAGAGGAAACGTCTTTACTGTTTGAAATTGTGGGTGAATAACACGTGGTTGAAAGTTTAACACGAATATATTTGATAATAACAATTGCACTATAACGATAACGATACATAAAAGGAAATATTGATAACCTGATCAATGCTCTCTTATTCGTTCTCTCTTTTGCGCTCTCGGTCTCTTTGTTTTCATTAACAACGCGGTTCTACTGTTTGCTCGCTGCTTCTCTCTAGGACACTTACCGTTTCCCCAATCCCGAGTCGATTCGAGTATCAGCCATAGGTCAAAACAAACATACGACATTCACGCCATCATTAAAAACGAATCCACAGAAATGTTCTAACGGACTGTTTCTGGGCACCCAAAAAGAAAGTTGGGGTCCGCTTGTACCTAGGAACTGTTTACTTTATGGTACCGCAGTGTGCAGTGCTTCACTCGAAGACGAACACCAGACACATCTGGTGGGAAGCCTTAGTGCCTTTGTCTACAGGGTGCTGTTAGAAATAATCCAACAATAGTCAACTCTATTTATTAATTCAAGTACTAGTAATAGAATTGAAGAAGCAGTGTTTGCCAATACTTGAAGAGAAATTTCCATTATCCGAGCTAAGTCTTCCTTCGGCTACCGATAAATTTCCCCGGAGAATTTCGACAATTCTATCGATTACTCTTAAATAAGCGTTAAGAACGACTGGAACATCGCGGAGAAGTAAGGATACTTAACCCGGCATATTTCGTTGTTCGGCGTTCCACCTAATCCCCGGTGCTCGCGATTCGTAAACATTAAGCTCCGCGCCATCGTGGCCGGATAAATAACCGTTGAACGGTGGGACGAGGTTCGCGATAACAATTTGGCGCGGTGGCCGGTATTACCTTAACGAGTTGGAAGTTTGAAAAAAGACGGGTAACGGGGCGAAGAAGAAGTAATTACAGACGGAACGTAGGAAGGCTTAACCGGTCGATCCATTTGTGACCGGTCTCATTAGCGATTTAATTTCCTCATCGTCCCTGCGATACTTATTTTTCGCACAGTGAAATTTTCCAAATTTCTCTCACTTTCTGTCCGATGAAATTAGGACTGGAACATGAATCCCTTCGGTATTAGGCAAGAGAAGAAACGGGGATACTCTACTCGCGAAGATGAAATCGAGCGCGGCGTCACGTCTGCGAGTAGAAAGAGTAGGAAAGTGTCCTGGAGAAGGTGGAGGCGAAAAGGTCTGCTGGTATCGTCGCGAATTAAAGTTTCGCGTCGCCCGCTAACGGTTGTTTCACTTTGAAACGTAAGTATAATTTCTGTTATCTCGGCGCGCCACGAAATATAAAATAATAAAGGCCACGGAACGAACGAACGAAGCGACCGAGAA